CTAAGGCACGCAAACGCAAATCAACAACACCATCGGGTAGGGGAAGACTAACCCTACCCGACGGTTATGTTGGTTTGTGTGGGCGTGCCATGAGTTCCTAGAAATCATCGATAGAAGTAATTGTTTACAAAGGCTGTTACGTCCTAATTCCAGCTCTATCTAGACTTCTTCGTTTACTTCAAAGTAAGGGGGAAAGGGATTTTCTGTCAGTGCCATTTTCCAGCTCAATTTTCCCCAATCATAATAAGAGATTGTTTAATTGACGAGACTCTCTTAAGAGCAAATTTTCATTATGTCGTAAGTAACATTCGCACCAATCCGAGAAAAATAAAGTTTTGTCAAAGTGTATTTACCAGGATATTCCGGAGAATTATCAATTACGTCTCCTTACGTGCAGCCCATTCATCATTTTAGGACCACCGAAATCTTCTTAGCAACAAACAGTTCGATTTATTTACTTTAATAATGAGAAAGCGAAACGACGAACGTACACTTTTCACGGGTTTCTCAGCGCTGTTACTTAAGGCAAACGGCATCTCCATAGAAATCGGGTGACTTAAGTAACATCGAGAACTAGGTGATTACGTCAAAAAGAAATTTGACTGGTAAATAAATTTAAAAATGGGATGTGATCCTATATTCGGACAGTATATAGTGAAATAGCAGGAGCATCGATTGACACTGATAGCTCGACTTTGTTTACCTTTGTTACTTTCGACGTAATGAAAATTTGCTCTTGCTTTGTCCTTATGCCTTCTGGGGAATGAACCTCTACAGAAAGTCCAAACGGCTTTTGAGAGGTGTCCATAGTTTCAGAGAAGTCCAAACGAATTAGTCAGAGTCACCACGCTCCGCAAAATAGGCCAGAATTAACTAGAATTAAGTATTAGCTCCATGGCCATAGGATCCGGACCGAGAGTCAATTAAATGGGTAATGAGCATTGCAGCGATAATGTACGGTGTCCACAACAGTCCAAATGATCCTACTATTCTTCAGATGTATCTGAAAGCGCCGCTGTTTCTCGAGCTGTTTCTCCCGCAGAACCACCCGGTACGATTGATGGTTCAATTATAAGTCGACCGTACAGCTCATTCTATGGGCTGAACTCGGATTCGATTGACTGTGGAGGCTGGTGGAGTCGGTGGATCCCATATTACCGGTTTGCAGTGTCTCTACGCTCTTTCGAAACTGTTCGTATCACCGACGGCAACAGCAACATTAAGAAAGATGCTACTAACAGAATTGTGGAGGTAACCACACCGGAGGTTACAGAGCCAATCGCAATCGGAACCGGAAGCAGTTTCAGGGAGATTATTATGCCATTGTATAAAACATATGAAGGAACGACAAGCAGCATACTACGAGGAAGTAGTCATCAAACGACTGCAACCTGTATCGATTTGGATAAACCCTGGACTAAGTAGTTTGACCCCCTCCCTAAGCGGATGACCGGCAATCAGCTTGTTTCACAACTTTTTTTCATACTTGACGTGAAAATGTAAACACACAATCTCAAAAGTCATAAGTGCAGAGTTGCCAAACTCATGGGTTACTGAGACTGATACCTTAATTGCCACACTTCAGCACGTTCGGTACAACGCTTGACCTAGTTTTCGGCACAGATTGGAATGTGCAGAGTTGAACACCCCTTGCCTCCATTCCATTTCTGGAAGAAATGAACCTAAATGAAATGAGCCAGAGGATCACCGCTGTTAGCCATGATGGCTGGGATTGTCAAAGGCCCTAAATATTTACGTAGAAAATTAATGCGCTTTTAAGAAATACTTTGTACTTTAAGCTAATTTTAGTTCATTAACTACGTAGACAGTTTTTTGGGATCCTTCCCCCCCCCCCCGTCCCCCTGCGTAGACAATTAAACACACATTTTTTTTTTAATTTGATGGGCCGTGGATAATTGCCAACTCCCCTAAACTATCTACGATGTTTATGAACAGCCCCTTACTTATTTCTTTTTTTCTCGATGTTAAAACAGATTTTCCACGTAAGGGTTTAAAAATAAAAAAATAACACAACAAAACAACACAATGAACTCATGACCACCGTTTCAAACAAAAGCGTTTTATTCTGCTTACACCAATTTTGTATAAAGTTAACATAGCTAGTAAGGTGTCAGTGAAGTTTGAACTGTTCTATAAATGGTAGTTTTCTATGCGGGTAGTGAACGACAACCTAAAGAAATCAGTTAGTTGAATTTAATAGAAAAACTAAGTCAACAATCTTCAAAACAAGAACTTTTCCCTGGATTTAAATAGTTCAAGTTTAAGCCATCTAGAACAATTTATTGGTTCACTTTCCTACATGATTGGTAATGTCATTATAGTTTGTAATGCAGTTATGATTGAGAGTTAAGAAATATTTTCTTGAATTTAATTAAATTCCCTACGATTCCCTGATTTTCCAGATAGTCGACACCCTGTTTAAATTAAGATTTTGTGAGGAATTTGAGATTTTTTTAAAGTCATATAAATACGAATATTTTAGTGTCCACCCAGAATCATGAAAAGTCACATATAGTGAACATGTCTCTAAGCCTGGGATGTTGAAATGTTTCCTTTGAACTGAACCGAATTTTGAAATGTTGGCCTTGAATCTTTAAAATTGTTCTAAGCCTGAGATTAAAAAAATCTCAGTTAAACTGCTGCAGAATCTCTAACAATATTCTAAATCCGATGTTTTTAAAATATTCCAAGAAACATTTTTCAGGGTTAGCTTCATAACCTGGTAGTTTTTTCCGGATTTTGTGGAATTCACGCAATGTTTTAAATTAAGTTTCACTTCTTCGCATTTCAAGCTTATTGATTATCACATATTAGCAAGCGGATAGTCACTCAGCATATTGTGCCAAAATTAGATTCGGCACAGCTTGGGAACATCCATCGGCACAATCTCATACACACTTAATCTAGCTCGGTAAAATCTCCAACAGCCGATTACCTCGGCATTTATTTTTGCTGATATCTCTGCAAAATATCTGTTTGTTAGCTGATATCTCAGCAAAATTTTATTTGTTAGCTGAGTCTCGGCAGTATTTTTACTAAATCTCAGCAAAATAAATTGCAGAATCACTCGGCTGTTGGAATCTCGGCGAAAAATTTTAAGTGTGTAGGCATTGGATTGTTGTTAATAAGATGGGAGCACTGCTTGACAACTGTCATTGAAGTTGTTCACAACATTACGTGCTGTTTGACTGTATGTTCATGAACATCCTCTAATTGAATATACCAGAAGAACTAAGACCAGAAGTTCACTTCTCGGTTCACTTATAGATTTAAATCCGAAATGTAGGTTCTAGAGTGGGCTCAAAAGAAAGAGGCAAGTAATCAGACCCCATTAGTACCCTTAATTCAAATAAAGCTGCAACTCACACAAAACAAACTACAGAAGTCCACCGGTTCCAAATCTTTCCGATCGCTGATAGACCATTGATTTTCACATCACATCACGGTTTCTGGTCTGGCATTGAGGGCATTATAAAGCTCTAAAACACAGGACTTTTATTATCCAATGAACACAAAACACCAAAATTTCGCACCCCCACCAGTTCCCGCGTCATCCTTAATCCGATTTATTCTTGCGATTTCAAACCAAAACATTGAAGGTGTCAGAAATACCGGGTTTCCGGGTTAGGTATTTTACAAACAAGCGCAGCTTGCTCTATGACTGGCATAACCAGCACCTTTACCGACTGAGCTAAAGAAGGCTTCAAATTCAGTTACATCGTAATAACCCCAGTAACTCTGAGCACTGAAGATAATCCACGATAATCTCTGAGAATTGAAGATAATTCACGATGATCTCTGATAATTGAAGATAAAACCTATACCTAACTTTATTTTCTAAAATAAGACAGAGAGTTTCAATATCCATTTATTAGATAGCGGCACCGGTGGTGTAGTGGTGAGTGTGACTGCTTCTCACTCCAAAAAGGCCTATGTTCAATCCCACTCGGCACAGTCGGGTTTTCCTGCGGCATAAAATCTGTGATCATCGCCTTTATTCGGAAGGAAAAAAAACCGTTGGTACCCGGCCTATGAGTTGATGGGTCGAAAGGTAGGGTCAAAATGTGGGAGTTGCCTCCCTGGCGTCGATAGCATTGGTACTCAGTACGGAAAACAAATCAAGGAAAAAACAATAATTAGAGGATAACCCTAATTTTTGCAACGGCCAAAAGAATGAGCTTTTTGAGTAAATAAACTGGTAGTAGACAAAAGCGTTAGGACTTTTATTTTGATAAATTCCCACTGTGCAGAAATCTTCAAGTTTTCAGGAATTTTGGAAGAGATCCATAGGACTGCTCCGGAATGTACATACGTATTACACAAAGACAACAATTCAATGATCAATGATTTGTTGTCTTCAGTATTACAGATAGTTCATGGGATCTGCACAGATATACCATACCAAAAGAATCAACCAAACCGATAATTTTATATAAATAATCCCAGAACAATCACCATTCCTGAAGGAAATACAATGTTGTTGCAGCAATTAAACCACACGAAACAAAAATTAATTATTAAATTCATGGCTTTCACTTATACATTTTTGCCAGAACATCAGCCTTATACATTCAATAAGATAAACCACATAGCGGAAATGGATGTAATGTCGGCCTAAATGCCCCTAATTTGAACCCATACATAAATTCAGCAATCAACTAAATTTTCAATAGCGACCAAAAATATCCATCAGTACCGTCCCAATAACGCGTTCATCTAGATAAAATTGATAAATATCAGATTTTTAGCGATAGACCCCATCTTAGATCCATAGGCCAACATTAGAGCCATTTCCCCTAGGTCCTATAATAATGCATAAACGATATGTGTTCATTTGACTCATGATCTTCATGTGAACTTTTTGCAAGGCGTCTGCTTATTAGTTAACTTATACAGTTTATGAATAATCAGCAATAGAAATGTTACAAACGGTATACGGGGTGCACCGATAGAAATGTTTACAAACAAACGAAACTAACCTGTGAGTTCTTCTGCAAACGATCCACGAAGATTGGCAACACTTGTTGGATCGGACACTATATAGCTCTCTCTTTCCTCGCAGAGTTTGCGTCTCTCGTTGATTTATGTGTTCCTCGGATGTGTGCGTGCTGTGCATTGGACGCCCAACATAACAAACTACACTCACAAATTTCACCACCGACACACGGCCGAGACGGATTCTCCGAAAGGCACTGACTGCCGCCGCCGCCAACCGCTTTCTACACCGCTCCTCGTTCACCTTTCCGGATGAGGGCAAAAAAATTCTCCAGACGACCAAATTTTCGCACCATCCAAATCAAACTTTTCCCACTTTGGGCTTCACTTTGCACCAAAAACCGACACCAGCTCAATGAAGAGCGAGATTTCTTCACACACCGACCGAGGCCCACCAGTGCTCCACAATTTTCGGCCTGTTGAAAAACACACTTGACTCGGCCACCCAGAATATTATTGGGGAAAAAATATGAGCACCACGCAAGAGTGAGAATGAGACAGGGGCGCCGCACACCGAAAAGTGAAAATTTTTCTGCTTCCACCAGCGGACACTATTTCCGTACACAAAACCGCACCCCACTCGCCGGAAACGGGTCACTTCCGTCGCGGATACACGATTGCTAGCGAATACCGTCGGTTTCCACCGGAAATTTATCACTTTTCATGGAGCAATATTGAATCTCGCCTTCACGGGCTGGCCAAAAGGGACACTCTTTTGCTTTTGCTGCTGCTGCTGCCTCGTCGACGACGTCGTGCTGCACGAGAGTGAAATGGCGAAAGCACACATACACCGCAGGAACACTCACGCAACACTGTATGGGAAGAGCGCAGGGCAAAGCAAGACGGACAATCGTCTGGCGTTTGCGGAAGCGAGATAGGCATTGGCTCCAACAGCGGACGGTCAGAAAATAATGACAGAACCGTTTCGGGACAACATTGTTACACCTGGAAGGTATGCTTGTTCAACAACGAAATCTACATTCTAATAAGAATTCTGTTTGGAGAGTTTCAAGAGCAAATTTTCATTACGTCGAATGTAACAAAGGTAAACAAAGTCGAGCTATCAGTGTCAATCGATGCTCCTGCTATTACACTATATACTGTCTGAATATAGGATCACATCCCATTTTTAAAATTATTTACCAGTCAAATTGCTTTTTGACGTAATCACCTTCCGATCAAAATAGTTTTCGATGTTACTTAAGTCAACCGATTTCTATGGAGATTCCGTTTGCCTTAAGTAACAGCGCAGAGAAACCAGTGAAAAGTGTACGTTCGTCGTTTCGATTTCTCATTATTAAAGTGAATAAATAGAACTGTTTGTTGCTTAGATTATTTCGGTGGTCCTAAAATGATAAATGGGCTGCACGTAAGGAGACGTAATTGATAATTCTCCCGAATATCCTGGTAAATACACTTTGACTTAAGTAACAATAGGGGCCACCAAACGACGTATAATAACTTTTGACTCAAAAACCAGTATTTTTTAGCATGAAAGCTAGCGATTTGCATTTGTATGATTAAAACCCGGCTTAATATGTTAAACATCCCGCATAAACGCGAACCATAAATTGACCTTACCTAAAATGATTAAAAATTGTTTATAATCCCTGCTAAACTTTAACTGAAATGGTTATGGAACTTTACATGAACGTTTAATGATAAAGTTTTAACCTTATTTATTATGGTTTTTTGGAACTGGACCTTACAAATAATGGGTTGTTAAGAACCATTACCATTCAAAATTCTTGTTTTCTCCATACATTTTCGAAAAGAGAACTATATTAGAACGTTTTTACTTATGATTTGAGAACATTAATGGTAATGGTTATGGTAGTCAGTAAGGTCCATTAATGGTTTTGTATTATCGCTCAACTTTACGTGGAATATATCGTGAATTGGTAATCAGTAAATTACAGGCAACCAATTCGCGATATATTCCACATAAAGTTGATCGATGTTACAAAACCATTCGTGGACCTTATTGACTACCATAACCATTACCATTAAAGTTCTCAAACCATAAGTTAAAAGGTTCTAATATAGTTCTCTTTCCGAAAAAGTATGGAGAAAACAAGAATTTGGAACGGTAATGGTTCTTAACAACCCATTATTTGTAAGGTCCAGTTCCAAAAAACCATAATACATAAGGTTGAAACTTTATCTTTAAACGTTCATGTAAAGTTCCATAACCATTTCAGTTAAAGTTTAGCAGGGATTATAAACAATTTTTAACCATTTTAGGTAAGGTCAATTTACGGTTCGCGTTTATGCGGGATTGCTATCACTATGAGATTATATGTGTTTAATTGGAAATAGGAATAACTTTTCGGTCATCAAAACAAAACTTTATTTTTCTCGGATCGGTGCGAATGTTACTTACGACATAATGAAAATTTGCTCTTGGTTTGTACTGTGTTGATACACGCTATTTCAAAACTCTCAAATTATAGTAGAATCCTCCCAAATTTGACTAGAATCCACCCAGATCGGTCCAAAATGGACCTAAATACAAAGCAAAAAATAAAAATAAAGGGTTGTGTCCTAGACACGACCGCAGTATGACGTAGAACCTATCTATCTATCTCTATCTATGATGCATGATATATGCATTTAGGTTAACATTCGAAGTCCCTCCTTCTTTAAATATTCTGCACAAAACATACTTTCTAAACCCCGCAACTGACAGGATTTCCAGCCATTTTATTACGCAGAACGTTTCTTTTGGGCAGAATATGGAAAAAAGGATGGACTTTGGATGTTATTATAATTTCATGTATAGAGGTACCAGATATGGTTTACAGTCAGTTGTGTGTAATTCACCAACATAAAATCATCGAATATGTCTTTCAAGCAATTTTTTTTTTCCTCAAATTTGAAAGTTTTCGTGCGGGAAGAAATTAAGGGAAAATCTTCTGTTTTTACTATAATTGTGGTTTGTTTAAAATTTATTTCCCGGAAAAAAGTGATCGTCAAAGTCCATGTCTTTTCGGGTTATTGTTGAGGGGGGGGGGGGAGGCAGAGGTTGTTGTGAAGGGGGAGGGGGTTTACATGCATTGCTTTTCCTCATTCCTCATTATGTCGCATTCTTCATTGTGGTCACGCCATGATCCACCTTTAGCCACTGACTGTGTTCCATTTGGTGAATTTTCACTTAAATTTGACACTTCGAAAATAAATTAAGATGTTCGAAAATCCCTCTGTTGTTGATCTTCCTATTTTCGAGAAGGTGTTTGTCAAAATTTATTCATCGTCTGTCAAAAATAAGTCTGGTACAATAGCAGGTTTATTTGAAAATTTTCCATCTGTCAAATTTAAGTTTTTTTTTTTTTTTTTTTTTCCTTTATTATAGAGATTTTTAGCCATAGGCTAGTTCATCTCTTGACAAATTTAAGTGAAAATTCACCAAATGGAACACAGCCTGAGTGAGCCAAAAATAATAATGATTTTCTTCGGGACCCAGTGGTCTTAGAGTTACCTCTATGATTCTATTCCGACACTAACATGGAGCGATCGTCGAAGGGATGCTGGAATTCCTTCATCTGTTTTTTGCGAAGGGGACGACTCTATCTTCGATGCAAAAAAGATTGTGTTTTGCTGTGGCTAGCTGCGCGCACGCTGAGTAGATAGCAAGAAGATTGATGACGATTCTGAAGATTTCCTGCAAAAAGATGATGAGCGATGCAAGTAGATGCGACAAATGAAAGAAGATTTTTCGAACATTGGTTCGCTAGTGTGTGATTTGTTGAGCATCTAAACTTGAGATTTAGATGTGTCGCCCCCCTCGGTTTTTTGTCATGCTACACGAAACGAAAATCAATTATTGTATCCATGTGTTTCACTTATACATTTTTGCCAAAACATCAGCCTTATACATTCCATAAGACAAACCACATAGGTCCTATAAGAATGCATAAAAGGTATGTGTGACCGCTTATACATTTCATTTGACACATGATCTTCATTAACTTTTTGCAAGGCGGCTGCTTATTAGTTGGTGGAGGCGAACCAGCCCCAGGCTGAAAGCCTCCCTAATAAAGATAAATTAATTAATTAATTATTAGTTGACTTATACATTTTATGAATAATGAGCAATAGAAATTTGCCAAAAGGTATAAGGAGATTTCTATCCGTGTACTAAGAATTGTTCAGATGGTCCTCCATTTGGGATGATAGTAGTCCTCTCTGAGATTGTCTGGAATCTCTCTGGAATTGAACTGAACTCTTTCGGTTGTTTGGGACTGTCATGAATGCCCCTCAAGTTTACTGAAATCGTCCTTTTGACTGTGCAGAATCCCTGTTGGGTTTGCCCGAAGCCCCCTCTGATATTGTCCGGAAGCCGTACTGAGAGTGTATGAAATCTTTTCTGATAATTGTCTGGAATTACCCTAGGCTCGCCTCTAGGCTAGTTCAGAGTCCCTCCGTCATAAATCCCCTTTTCGATTGACTGGAATCCTTACAGAGATTGTTCGAAGTCTTCTAGGGATTGTCCAGAATCCCTCTGGGACTGTCCTGAATTCTTCTTGTGATTGTCCATCAGAATCCGTATTATGTGGTTGCTAATGTTCCGCAGCGTGCTATACGGAAGTGCAATTGCCTTTCCATTGCCGAAATATCTTCCCGGTTAAGATTGAAAGGGCGCCGCTTAAAATGATGAAATACGTATTACAAATTTACAAATGCAATTAAGCCCCTTTGAAATGTTGCCACTGAATTATCTTTGCTTGATAGCATCAGTTTCAACACAACAACCAGGTTGCTATATATGTAAATGTTGTTGAGCAATGCGAGTTACTCAGAGTTACTCAAAATTAACTCTGATTATACTCATGCTCGAAAGCTGTCTTGCCCCAAGGATGTTTCGGATAATATCGCAATGCTTTGAATGTGATCAGATCAGTGCTAACATTTGAAAACGGCGCAAAAGCCATTTGTAAACAAATGGTTTGTGGGCCCTTTACTCGCTACCCGAAGAACGCCCACGCAAACCAACAGCATCGTCAGGAAGGGGAAAATTTCCCCTACCCGATGTTGCTGTTGTGTCGCGTGGGTGTACTTCAAGTAGTGAGTAAAGGGCCCACAAACCATTTGTTTACAAATGGCTTTTGTGCCGTTTTCAAATGTTAGCACTGAGATAAACAGGATTGTAATAATTAAATTTTGTGTTGTTCTCACCCCAGCAGGCCTGGGTTCAATCCCAGTCGGCGACACCGGGATGTTCTGAGGCATAACATCTCTGATCAAGGGAAGTAGAGCCGTTGGTCCCCGGTTCATGAGTTGATGGGTCGATAGGTAGGGTCCAGGTGTGGGAGCTGCCTCCCTGGCGTCGGTAGCATTGGTGCTCAGCACGGAAAACAAGATCGACGAAAAATAAATCAAAGGAAAAAAGTTCGCGAGTCATAGTGAGTTTTGGTGAACTTTTCCAACACTGGCCCTATGGGGTTGTACCAACAATCAATACGAAACTAACGATTTTAAATTGGCTCACCACTTTAGTAGCCTATTGGTCCCAAGCAAACGATTAACGTACCCTATTCTAGTTGAAATTCTATTACTACACTATGTTTGTTTTGATTCGCTATGAAAGTTTGACAGATAACATCAGGGGTGTGTGGATTCATGCAAAACATGCAGGGGTGAGTGAAATAGCTTGGGACTGCTTGGGACCGTTGTTCTGATACTGAGTGAGCCAAAATAATAATGATTTTCTTCGGGACCCAGTGGTCTTAGAGTTACCTCTATGGTTGTACGCAATGGTGACGTAGGACTACGTGGCCTTATATAATAAATCTTATTTGTTAACTGCAGCTGGAGCTTGTGTTTTGTGTAGGAATAGGAATTTGAGCGGGGTTCTCTTTGTTTATACTCTTTAGTATGACACACTTGACATAGATGGCCCACAGCAACTCACGAAGAGCTACTGATTCCGATCAATAGCTGTGCGGCTTCTTCCTCTTTCTATGGATGCTCATGTGGACTGCAGCTCGCTACTTACAGATACTCTTTCGTTGTGTTCTGGAGAACACCACCACTAACCACGCGATGATTGAATAAACACCGTTTGGTGAGACCGGATGGAATTCAATTTGTGAAATCTGTGTTAGGGAAATCGCTTATTGCAGGCAATCGGTGATAATTTTAATTATCATAGCAACAGTTGCACATACGTGCAATTTTTAATAGTGAAATTTTTAAATATGATAAAGTCTTAAATTAAGCAGATGCGTAGAAATATTTCTGATCGATTGGTGATAAAATGATTGAAATTGGGCCAGGATCAGCTGAGTTATTAACGTTCAAAATCTTTCATAATGTTGTTACATGTTCCATTTTCGGTTTTCACAAAGTGTACTCCCATACAGAAATCACAGACGTAGGCCTACGTCAAAAAAAGAAAATTTTGTGTTAAACGTAAATTTGTGTAAGTCAGAAATCGTCGAGGAAATCGTGTGATGACAAAATCCTACTCTATTATATTGTATTGGCGTCTTGCAGTGAAACTTTTCCAAGCTTTCGCCACCTACATTTCGAAGTGAGAACTACTAGAAGGAGGATAGTTTCCAAATTTTCCAAGTAAAACAGACGATTTTTGGGGCAAATCGGTCCATAAAGAAAAACTAATAATTTCCCGTGGAAACTTTTGCTTGAATCGTGTAAGAAAACGTGTTTGAAAACTAATTATTGTTATTATTTCGGAGTGGATCGGAGAGGTTTTCATGGAAAATAAAGCATAACAAGTTTGCACAAGCTGCATTTTTCGGAAAATGGTGAATATGTGCGATTTCCACTAAGATGAAAGTGGAAATTAAGTTAATTTACTTAGGAAAGGTTGTATGGTTGTATCATGCTGGTGGTAATGGAGAATTGGTTTTATAGGTCGCCAATATTCAATAAATGTTCATTTTGGCCTTTTCTAAGCAAACATATTCATACTCACAATTTTCGACGGAAAACGCACCGGAACTTGATTTACTCAACACGCACCATACTATAAAATGGTGCTAGATGGTCTTCAAAGTGATAACAAGATGACAAATCATCTTTATTTTGAGTAATTGAGCAATTTACTTCTGTTTACATCATATTTACGATGCAGCATTGATGGAGCCGCGAAATGAAATGAATATTATCTTATGAAAGTTCAACTGGAAAAGTCAAAGATGCACATCAGTCTGATCGTAAACACGTTTTCTTCTTCAATTCGAATGTTATATTGGAAGGATTTTACACAGGCTTGGTGAAAACTATGATTTAACGCTAATTTGCACGAATTTTATATGCAGTCTGTCAACATTATCATCATCATGCAGTGGCGACATCTGCGTTGAGCTTTTACGGCAATCTTCCAATTGCGCAGGGAATTGAGAAAATTTGCAACCTGACAGATTTTCTTAACCGGAACCACCGCCTCCGGTTTGATGATATTGTCACAGACATATAACACATTGAATATTTCTCACTGTAAAACATCGTCACTAAAACTACCACCAACAATCAATTCGAAACTAACGATTTTAAATTGGCTCACTACTTGACTAGCCTATTGGTCCCAAGCAAATCGATTAACGTATCCCATTCCAGTATAAATTTCAGTACTACACTATGTTTGTTTTGATTCGCTATGAAAGCTTGACAGATAAAATGAGGGGTTCGTGGATTTTCCTATGTTTCGAGGGGTGCATCGATTAGCTTGGGACCGAAGATAGTACCAACAATCAATACGAAACTAACGATTTTAAATTGGCTCACCACTTTAGTAGCCTATTGGTCCCAAGCAAACGATTAACGTACCCTATTCTAGTTGAAATTCTATTACTACACTATGTTTGTTTTGATTCGCTATGAAAGTTTGACAGATAACATCAGGGGTGTGTGGATTCATGCAGAACATGCAGGGGTGAGTGAAATAGCTTGGGACTGCTTGGGACCGTTGTTCTGGTACTGAGTGAGCCAAAAATAATAATGATTTTCTTCGGGACCCAGTGGTCTTAGAGTTACCTCTATGGTACTACCATAGAGGTAACTCTAAGACCACTGGGTCCCGAAGAAAATCATTATTATTTTTGGCCCACTCAGTACCAGAACCAGAACAACGGTCCCAAGCAGTCCCAAGCTATTTCACTCACCCCTGCATGTTCTGCATGAATCCACACACCCCTGATGTTATCTGTCAAACTTTCATAGCGAATCAAAACAAACTTAGTGTAGTAATAGAATTTCAACTAGAATAGGGTACGTTAATCGTTTGCTTGGGACTAATAGGCTACTAAAGTGGTGAGCCAATTTAAAATCGTTAGTTTCGTATTGATTGTTGGTACTACGGTACTACCAACTAAGAAACATTTGAATTGACCGTTAAATGCGTGTTCGATGAACAACTTATACCATTGACAGACATACAAAACAGTACCGTTATGGTACAACCAACAATCAATACGAAACTAACGATTTTAAATTGGCTCACTACTTGACTAGCTTATTGGTCCCAAGCAAACGATCAACGTACCCCATTCTAGTCGAAATTCTAGTACTACGCAGAGTTATGTCCGTTTGTCTGTGATATTGTTATGCCTTAACTTAGACCACGGGCATCGCGCAGATGCGACATTTTGTTGAAAGTAAGTAACTGCAAAGTAAGTATAATTGTTATCATTTAATCTTTTCGGAAATGGCTTTATTGAACGAAACTGAATGGATCGCTTGAGTTTAATTTATTACGTTTATTTCCAATTTCTCATAAGCAGTTTGACATATACAGTAAGTATTGTTATACACTGTAGATTAGGGTAAATATATATATATGTACTCCAATAAATATTTCATTTGTTACACCGCACAATGTAAGACAACATTTAAAACGTATTAGTTAATGCATAATTGGAAACCTATGATGCACAACATCAAATGATTTGGTTATTTTGAACACATGGTAAAATTTTCATAAAGAACAAAAGTTCGGCTTCAACTGCAGCAATTGACAAGAGAAGAGGAATGGTCTAAACATTTCGAAAAAAAAACAAGACAAAGTGGTTTCGGTCTGTAGACTGTAAGGAACGTAACGGGAACTAATAAATAAGGAAACTAATCTCGGATTAAAACAACCTAAAACAGCAAATAAAACCAGTACTTTGTTTTGCTAGCTACCAGTAGAGACGACACATGTCTCACTATCTAAAGATCCCAGGAAAAGAGATGATGCTTGACGAGCATGTCGCGCACCCCGTCCTTGAGCGGTTGGCTCTGCGTGGCCTCCCGCTTGGCCGGCAGTTCCCAGTCCGGGTTGAGATTGAAGGCAAACTGACACAGCAGCCGAAGTTCGCACTTGATCTGCACCCAACCGGGCGAGTAGATGAAACTCCACGGTTGGTACCATTTGTGAACGATCTCGGTACAGCTGCATAGTACTTCCATCCACAGGTGCAGCACCTGCTCGTTTAGACCGAGACAGATGAGCGAACGTAGTTTGACGTCCATTTGGGCGTGCGCCGCATCGTGGCTTTGGTTGACTGCCTGAACGCAACGGTAGAGCAGTTCCTCCGGGGTTAGGACTTTTCCATCCTCGTCCAGTCGGTATGTTTTGCAGAGGACCAGCCGCGAGTAGACGGATTCGAAGTCCTTTTCCACCTCACGAGTTGCGGCTTCCTCGATAAACAACCATGGGTGGCATGGGCCACCCAAGAACGACGGACGTTTCATGCCATGCTCGAGGACTTGCTTGATGGTTGGTGCTAACGTTCCACGTACCAAATCGGTAACCGTCTCGGAAATTGCATCGTCCCCTGCACAGCTGTACTGTTTGCTCCGCTCGTCCAACAGTTCGACGAATTTCGCAGGGAACCACCCACGCAGCCCATTTAGCTCACCCACCCAGCAGTGCTCATCCTTCTGACTGATGATAGTTATGATATCGTTCTTCCTAAATCCCAACTCGTCATCATCGTGCCTCTCGAAGTCATGCAGCGCCTTTGCCCGCCGGCTGCGCGTTCTCGACACGTTGATGTAGTTCTCGTGATCTTTGGCATGACTGTCCATGCTGTAGTCTGCAACCAGCTTGATATGCACAGTGAGCTTCGGCTCGATGGCCAAGAAGTGCCTCGCCACCTTGAGAATTGCCTCCCTCAGATCAACCAAAATCTCCGTCTGTCGTATGTTCTTGTTCTTCAACTCGTCGTCCCCATCGTCGTTGCCGAACAGAATCATCTGGATCATCGACTTCGACTTCTTGACCTGCCGTCGGGCCAAATGTTGCTTCGGTAGATTAGAGCCCGCTTCCGGATTCCCAACCAATGCACCCTGGTCGGCCATCAAATAAGCCAGATGTCGACGGCGGTGCGTTTCGATGACCATCGGCGACAAGGAACCACCCACTTCCATCGAGATGGAAAACAGATGCTCCACATCGTCGATATCGCCGGGAATGTCCGACAGGGAATTGAAGATCTGGGCGGAATTTTCGAGATTTTTCAACGAGGGTTCTTTGATTTTCAGCAATCCAAGTGTCAGCTGGAACAGGACGATCGAGCCGTCATAGAAGAACCAGTCCCAGATTCTGGAAGGAAAAATATTTGAGCCTATTTTAGCTGTCAAAGGTTGTTCCAACTCACCTCAGCAAAATCTTCATGTGCACCACGCTTGCAAACAGCGTTAGAAACCAGTGGAGCGTAATGAGCGACAGTTCAATGTCATGGCTCTTCAGTGTTTCATCCACCCCGGTCAGATAGTTTCCGATCAGGGTCTGCATCACTCGCTGATCCGCTTGAATGCCCAGCAAGGTCGACGAGTAGTACGACGCTGGCAGCAGGTCTTCCACAATCGTGGCCATCATCCAAAAGGCATCCTCCTCCTCTAGAAGCAACAGCAGCGAAGCTGCTATCACTCCCGTACCCTGACAATAGCCAATGTCCGGATAGAGCCAAGCGATTCCCCGCAGAATGCGGCGCAACCGCGGAACTCCGGTGCTACTCAACGAACTGAAGCACGCATTCGTCGGCATAATTCGCAACAGATCCTTCTCGATCTGCTTCGACGTCATGAGTGCATCGTTTGCCGATACCTTCACAATGTCCGGATAGGACGTTTCCGATTTCAACTTCTTTTGCAGCGCCCCCGACAGACGCATCCACATCTGCGGACGCAACGAGTGGGGAATCCCAGCGCGAACCATATTTCTCAGCTTCTCCGTTCGCGGAAGCACCACATCAACGCTGTCCCATGTCAGTTCGGTCGCTTCCTTGTTGTGGGAAAATTCCAAATGGGCAATCCACTGCAGTCTCTGCGCAGGATCCTCCATGAACGGAATGCTCAACAGTTTGTTCGAACTCTGTTCGGGACCATCCTCCTCCTCAACGCGGAAACCAAACTCGTCAAAGCGGTAGTCCGGCTGATGGTTGGGTGGTTCGTTCGGTTCCGGCTGTCCCAGCTTGGCCAATATATCTTGGGGCCACATCGACGGTGTTAGGGCGGAAAATGGCCCTCCTGCTGTCGGACGCAGACCTTCGCTAATGTGTAGCCCTTCCGCCAGTTCGACCAACTCTCCGTCATCTTCCGAGTTGGCCGATTCCAGTTTTTTCTGCAGCATTAAACAAAGCAAAATACGTTCAAGTTTTTCGGTCCAACTAATCACGAGCCCCAGAAACCTACCATATGCTCATCTTTGCCTACGTATCCTTCGTGATCTCGATTGCCGAACAAAGACTTTGCTACATCCATTTATCGAGGGTCCTACTTTAATCACCACTTTTTCGCCACTATTTTCGGAACTTTCTTCCTACGCTAGCAAGATATTTTTGCTCACTTATTGATTAAACAAGGATTGCTGAAATATTTTCAGTGAAAATTTTGATGTAAACACCACCAAAAGCGAAAGTTGCTGCTGATGAGTCGCTCTCGCCTTAGAGCGAAAGGGCATCATGGAGAAAATTTTTGACACGTAAATAATGACCCGGCACTGAAAATGAGGTGCAGCTGTGAAGTATTGAAGCAATGTATTCATGTAAGCAGGTAATACGATGTGCACGGCCAATGAGAATGACTCAGAGAAAGAAAGTCACTTCTTATTGGCAAATCAAAGTTCATACTCGTGGAGAATAGAAGAACAACGAAAGTGATGATGGTTTCAAAATTTTACACTGTGAGATATACGAGTTCAATCTTAAAATGTTTTTATTTTGCCAATGGAGCATTTTATTTAAATCTGGTTAATGCTACGTTAGTAGAAAACTTAAAAGGACTACTCAAAAGATATATCTACACGGATAGAAATCTCTTTATACCTTTTGGCAATTTTCTATTTTCAAAGTGTTTTTTATGTTACTTCATACGCGAAGTTAGCGATTTTCAGAGTTGGTTGGAAATGCTAACATGAAGCTTTAGTCAAGGGGTGGTCACTCTACACACTTGTTTTGCGCCAACTTTTTTCTCAGTGTACCTCAGTGTGCCGCAGTTGTACCGGCAGTGTCAAGAAGTCATTGAACTGACTTTTGATTGCTTGTGAATAATGCCTTGTTTGGCAACCCGGTATTTTAAAAGCTTTTATTTTTGTTTTGTTTTTCAATGTTTTCAAAAACGACACGGACTCCAGTTGGGACTACACACTGGATGCATCCGTCTCCAAGGATGCCTGCAACGGACGGGCTCCGTTGCTACACGATCCTTCCATCTTTGGCGAAGGCCGACCCCGCACAACGAACGTCAATCATTAGTCAACCAACCCTTCTGGGAGCCGGCGGAGGAAATGGATTTGCACTGAATTTTTCACCGCCCGAGTTTCATCCGTCTGAAAACTGGAAACCAACACCAGCCAGAACACACGTCGGACTGATGAAGGACGCACCGCTGACCCAAAACGGACCAGCCAATTTTCCAAGCTGAACTACTTGTCAGCGTCCACCAACCCGTACACCCTGCAGGACAATTCAATCAGCTTCAAGGTCTACAGCGCCTCCAAGAACAATCGCTTCCCAGGCCAGCAAAAATCGCATTCTCTACTTCTTCAATAACCCACCCGTATGTCGTCCGAGGATCTGCTGCTGACTGCATTCACCACCAAGGACTGCCACCCGTCGCAAGTGCGAATGTTCCCGCTGAAATCGGGAAGTTCCTCCTCCGGATTGGTCGAGTTCCCGAGCGTTGCCCTGGCGGTGAACGTCACCATAAAGTGCAACCACAGCGCGATGATCACAAATGCACAAAACTCCCGTTCATTATGAAGCTGTGCTTCTCCTCCTCCAAGAAGATGAACGGTGCATGGAGCAACGAGAACACGTTAGCTTTGAAAGAGCGGAAGCTTATTTTCGGAGAAAAAAGAAAAGATTTTCCTTTTTCTGGGTAATTATTAATGTTATGATTCGTAATTATAATTTCTTATTGTGTTAGTTGGAAATGCAAAAAGGAACGAGAGTAACAATTTGTTGAACTATTTGAGATTTTGCCAAGACGGTCCTCCAACATTATATGTTGGACGATGGAATGGTTGAAGTAGCAGCCACCGCCATGGATGTATTCGAGCAGTTCGAATGGTCGGATGGTATAGATTTTGTTTGGTTGTTGACTTTCCGATTAAAACTCAAGCACCGCTTGTCGTAACCGGCCCAAGATTTCCAGCGTCGACCACGGCTACACAAATTAGCGATGCAGCTCCCACGGCTGCGGCTGATTATTATGCTGCTGCTGCTGTTCCTTCTGCTGGTCCGTCTCCTCTAAAATTCGTCAAAAAAGACGGACCAGCAGCAGCATTGGAAGCAGCCACAGCCGTGGGAGCTGCATCGCTATTTCGTGTAGCCATGGCCGGAAACCTCGGTTAGGTCAAGATACCGCTGTCAGCTGATCTTCGTATGAAAGGAAATGTGGATGTGACTGCCGTAACGGGTGTAACGATTTTGAGAATCCATGGCGAGACTTGGTGGAGATTCACGGTTGTTTTGAAAATTATTTGACTAGGAGTGGCAACGTCAATAACAAATTTTGACACATGCACACTACGCAGGCGCAGAAAAAGTTCAGTGTTGCCAGAAACTTTGAAGATCATAAAAATTGTAACAACGTCAATGACTGCACCCCGATGTGCCCCAGTTTGATTTTGGCACACTGTGTAGAGCTCGGTGCGGCTCGGTGTAGAGTGACCAACCCTTGGCTTTAGTGTAATAATTTATTAGCTAGAGAATGATCTTAAGAAAAGAGTAGGTGGATAGTTCCGTTAGAGTACGGCAGTATGAAAATTGAATAGAAGTTGAAAATGAGCGAAGGGCCATTAATGCGATAGTTTTTTTTTTAAATATAGACGCACATTTTTGCCTAACCCGTACGATGTACGCGGAGACTTGAAGTATGTCTCCAAGTCTACAGGCAAAAATGTGCGTCCCTCTTTTGCTCATAAACTGACTGCGGCTGTGGAATAGTTCTAGCGATGTTTTCATCACTACCTAAAGCCCCACGTTGCGAGAGCATTTCCAGTCGATGGTCTCCCTAATAAAGATAATCATAAAAGAGAGCTTAACGACGTGTTCGGGGTATCATCCAAACCTTTTGTGGGATAGTTTACCCATCCGGGATACAGTTCGTTTATGGTATTTGTTTATTAGGGGTGTTATAATGCAATTCTTCTTTACCCAACTATTGTGTTTACAAAAGCTGTTGCGCCCTAATTCCAGCTCTATCTAGATATAATAAAGAAAAAATAATTTCTTTTCTGATTTCTAGGTATATACATAGATTTCAGCTTTTCTACCACTGTAGCAGCAACCTGATTTCCATGAGTGCCAACTTGGATTTGCCAATACTCAGATGTATGGAGACATTTTGGGTATTTTGGACATTTTGAGTGATGATAGAAATCGATGTAGAAAGGGCACGCATTAGTGATTCATTGCCACGTTTAAAGAAAGTTCCAACAAAAGAAAAATCACTCTTATAAACAGGCTTGCAATTGGGTTCTTTAAGGGTATTGAGGTAAATGCATATTCGTAATCTGCATTAAAAATGGAATCCAAACCCAAAATTTCATCAATTTTGGTACTCTGGAACTATTTTAAATAAGAACGATTACATTTGCAAAAATCACCTTATTAGCGCCCCTCGGTGTCACTATGTATGGGAGCGAGCTGTCAGTTTGCCAGTTTAGTGTCAAACAGTGAAGTTATTATTTTGCTTTAAATCTTGATTTAAAAATCGAGATGAAAGTGTGTGGGTTCGAAAAAAATATCGCTGTGCCCAAAAAACGAAGCTTTTTCAGATGATATATAAAAACCGATATATTTTTCAAAATTAAAGAACTCAATTGCTCATTATAGCTTAAATGCTATTTTTCGGTATTATGAAACAATGGGATACTAAAATGATAATTTTTATTTGTAAGATGCAAGAAGAGGTGGTAAAGTTTGTGTATGACATATAAAATTTGTCAATTTTGCTTTCAGAAGGTCACAACTAGCGATTAGCTGTAACGATGAGCAACGCGATGAGCGAGCAATCAGCGATCATAAAATCGCTAGTTGTGACCTTCTGAAAGCAAATTTGAAAACATGTATATCCCTAATAAAAATATACCATAAACGAATGATAACCCAAATGATTGAACTATTCCACAAATGGTTTGGATTATACCCAGAACACGCCGTTAAGGAAAATAACCATAACAATTTTATTAGGGATGTTATATATAAACTTTACCACCTCTTCTTGCATCTTACAAATAAAAATTATCATTTTAGTATCCCATTTTTTCTTAATAACGAAAAATAGCATTTTAGCTGTAATGAGCAATTTCAAGCCTGCTTATAAATCCAGTTTAAAAACTTGCCTCCCCACAAAACCAAAATACTGAGTTTCTTTGAATATCTCCTACGGATCCGTATTTCTGCAAAATTTAATCAATTCTAATGATCTACGTTTTTCGGAAGGGAAGTAAATAAGCCAAAGATGAATACTAAGATGAAACTGTCGGAAGAAATATAATTTCAGTGTCCTCTTTCACGGTCCCTTTCATCCAATGAATACCCCCAGTATGCAAGGTAATTTTGTGGATTTGCTGCCCCCTCGGTACAGATGAAATTTTGCGCGCTTTTTTATCAAAACAATCACACCCCCCCCCCAAGATGCCCCCATTTTTTTTTGATTATTCGATTAACAACTAATCGATTATTTTTTGTTCGCTGTGCTGTCATTTTTCCACCAATGAGAGTGCAAAACTTGTATAAAACGATCGGTGATGATCCTTTGCAGAACTTAATGCTTGTACCGGCATCGATTACAAATATTTTACTGTTTGGTTCGTTAATCGATTAATCGATTATTCGAATGAAAATCGGTCATCACTAGATGAAAGTGAAACGCAGAGCTGCCAGGTGGTTTTATAAAAAATCTGTATCCACTCTATTAAAAAATCTGTATTTTCTGTATTGACGATTTTTTCTTAATTAATCATGTTTTGTTGTTTTACAAATACACTGCATACAAAATAACCATAAAAAGTGCTTAACCACCTATTCGGGCTATCGTACTAACCATACGGGATATAATTGCGCCATTTGTGATATCGTCCGTACTTATTTATAAGAGTGATATGAAGCCGTTTGAAAATGTATGGAGATTTTAGTTTCTATTCATTATCTTCCTGATAAGCAGTTTTAAATGCAAAAAAGTGCACGAGTTCATTACTATTTGATATTTTTAAAATAGATGAATACGATTAATTACATCATTTGTGTGGTAGTTACACCGAAAAGTCGAGAGATGTCGCCCCGCCAGTGCTGGTAAAATCATTTTTGCAGTATGGAGAATATCAGAACATCCGCAATTTCTTACGAAATACATTTTCAATGCAAGTAAAATGTTTACGAGTACTTGTATTTGTACCATTTTAATGTGCTCGGGCACTTTTCTTGTATTTAACATACATGCTTATATTGGAAATATTCAATTAATACTGTACGCTGATAAAATCGAGGATAAAATCGAGCAAGTTATTTTGTTTTTATAAATTTTGAATTTTTTTTTCTCAAGCATTTTATAAAAATCTGTATAAATCTGTATTGTAATTTAAAAATCTGTGATAAATCTGTATTATGTATCGGGTCTGTATTAAGATTAAAAAATCTGTATCATACAGATAAATCTGTATAAATGGCAGCGCTGGTGAAACGTCATTTCAAATATAAGGACCGTACATAAATAATGATACAATTTGAAAGAGACCGGGGCTAACCACAAATTACGTCCGCACGGTAACTGAAATAAACACGAGTGTTACCGGTGAACAGCCGTTGGTCCCCGAGGGGCGATCAACTTCATAAATCAGCTGAATTGTAAATACACACTTTGGAAAATACATAAAAAATACGCTCTTTTTATCAAAACAATCACACCAAAATCAGAGATGTCCCATTTTTTTTCCCACGTATGTAATTCAATCTGTCAAAATGAGTTAGACAGCAGTTTGTTATGTATTTTCCTCGGATTTTCACTACCACAGTTTCACACAGTGTCCCAACCCGCATAAACGCGAACCATAACTTGACCTTACCTTTTTTTTTTCCTTTATTATAGAGATTTTTAGCTATTGGCTATAGCTCATCTCTTACTTGACCTTACCGATAATAATTATAAATTGTTTATAATCCTTCCTAAACTTTAACTGAAATGATTATGGAACTTTACATGAACGTTTGTGTGATAAAGGTTTAACCTTATGTATTATTGTTTTTTGAAAGCGGACCTCACAAATAATGGGTTGTTAAGAACCATTACCATTCAAATTCTTGTTTTCTCCATACATTTTCGAAAAGAGAACTATATTAGAACGTTAACGAAATTAACGAAAATGTTCACTTATGGTTTGAGAACATTAATGGTTATGGTTATTATAGTCAGTAAGGTCCATTAATGGTTTTGTATTATCGCTCAACTTTACGTGGAATATATCGTGAATTGGTAATCAGTTATTTACAGGCAACCAATTCGCGATATATTCCACATAAAGTTGATCGATGTTACAAAACTATTCATGGACCTTACTGACTACCATAACCATGACCATTAATGTTCTCAAACCATAAGTTAAAAGGTTCTAATATAGTCCTCCTCCCGAAAATATATGGAGAAAACAAGAATTTTGAATGGTAATGGTTCTTAACAACTCATTATTTGTAAGGTCCGCTTCCAAAAAACCATAATACATAAGGTTAAAACTTTATCATTAAACGTTCTTGTAAAGTTCCATAACCATTTCATTTGAAGTTTAGCAGGGATTATAAACAATTTTTAACCATTTTTGGTAAGGTCAATTTATGGTTCGCGTTTATGCGGGAAATCTATTCGTTGACAGCTCGCTCCCATACAAAGTACCACCAAAGGGCGCTAAGATAGTGGTTTTTGCTAATGTAATCGTACTCATTTAAAATAGTTCCAGTGTACCAAAATTGATGAAATTTTGGATTTCGGTTCCATTTTTAATGCAGATAACGAATATGTATTTACCTCAATACGCCTAAACAACCCAATTGGGTTCTTTAAGGGTATTGAGATAAATGCATATTCGTAATCTGCATTAAAAATGGAGCCCACACCCAAAATTTCATTAATTTTGGTACACTGGAACTATTTTAAATAAGAACGATTACATTTGCAAAAATCACTTTATTAGCGCCCCTCGGTGTCACTTTATTTGGGAGCGAGCTGTCAGATTTTTAGTTTACTGTCAAACAGTGAAGTTATTATTTTGATTTAAATCTTGATTTAAAAATCAAGAAGAAAGTGTGTGGGTTCGAAAAAAATATTGCTGTGCTCAGAAAACGAAGCTCTTTCAGATAATATATAAAAATCGATATATTTTGCAAAATTAAAGAACCCAATTGAGATTTAGATGTGTCGCCCCTTCGAGAGTTTCGACAAATTGGCGTTTGAAAGAAGATACGTCCTTTTGCTAAATCACCCTTGAATTGTTCAACAAAATTCAATGCCCCCTTCTGAAATCACCCGCCGCTTCTACTCTTTCGGTCGCAGCGAAACATCTGTCAGCTGGTTTGTAAACAATAAACATTTTTACAAAATACCGCTACCCCTCTGCTTGCGTGTGGGAAATAATAATAAATGTTTTCGCTCATGGCCTTTGATGACTCATAATTGTTTCGATTGTTGTGCCCAGCTATTTCTCAGCAACGCAGATCGAACTATTTAGTATGGATAAAAGTGTTGGACGGGTGAGTCATCCTTGAAAATATTGCCTTACATACGGTTTAAATTCTTCTCATTCCGATCAGGACAAACGTCGCAAAGACAAGCACCACAAAAAACCGCCTCCGGTGAAATCCAGCAGCGGCAGTTCCGCCGGTAAGTCACAAAAAGAAGCAGAAAACACCAACCGAACGGTGCCCACATCTGCCCCGTTGATTGTCTACGACGATCCGTTCTCGAGGCGACCGGTCGAATCCAACTGGAACAGCAGCCGAAATCTCTCGTCTGGGGGAAGCGATTCGGAAGACGAGCAGCTGCGGGCTGCCGATTTCGAGAAACTACTGCAAATGCCCCCTTCGGTCAGTGGACACTTTTTCCTTAGTACCGAAAAACATTGGACGACCGATAGCGAAGACGTTTCGATTACCAGCGGCAGTGGCAAGCCCGGTCAACAGTACGGACAATACTTCCAGATCGATACGAAGCAGCTGAACGCAAGCTTGGCCACTATCCCGTTCTACGAGAGAAACGGCTACCCGTGCGAGATTTTCTCCAAACAGGAAATCAATTCTATGAAATTGAAAGCACAGTACGAATCAAACAATTACGACGAACTTTGCCAGCGGTTGGAATCATCGAAGAAGATGGGAGACAGCCAGCCGAAGCCACCGATCAAGTGTCTCATAGGAGCGGGAGCGCTCCCGCCTCCAGTGAATCAGGAACGGCAAGATCCGCCTGCTCGGCCGGTGCCGTGCTTAATTGGCCCCATGGCACTGCCTCCGGAGCTGAGAAATGATCCCAATGTGACCGGAAGCTATGCTTCTTCGAATGTAGCAGTTGCAGAGCGGTTAAGCGAGGTCAATCTAACGGAAGGAGGAAGTCGTTCGGCGACTGATGCAGTGCCTATCGAAAGTAGTAACGTTCAGGAACAGATAGCTGCTGGTGTGGGGTCTTCAGGAGTGGAGAAGGGAAACGAGGGAAATTCTGGAGGTAAGCGAGAAGTACAACCGGCAGCGAAGGAAACGAAGGAAGATATCCAACAGTGGCTAGACGATATTCTGGACATGTAGGTTGTAGGGGCGTATCTGTTTATTAAATGTTTGTCGATGATAAGATTTACTTGGGATTAGCTTTATATTGGAAAGAACTGGCCAGTAAAGAAAATGAATCCCACTCCCAGTGAGGAAAATGGACGATGGACGAAAATGTCTTCACATGTCGTAACCTCTTCAAAATTGTGACCGGAGGTGAAAAAAAAAGAATCATTACTAAAGTTCAGGGAAGATAACAAACATCATTTGGTCTCAGAGAAATTCGTAAAAGTTCAGGGAACGTTGTAGAGCTTCAAGAAACTTTGAAGATCTCTGGAAAACTTCGTAGGCGTTCAGGAAACTTTATAAAAGTGCAGCATTTTTTTTAGAAGTTTAGTGTACTTTGTTGAAACTTAGCGAATTCGTAAGAACTTCGGTAAGGCTCATAGAAGTGCAGAACGTTTTTGGAACTTCAGTAAATTTTGTAGAAGTTTAGTGAACTTTGTAGGAATTGAAAGTTGTTTGAGTATTATTCCAAGAGCGGTGTTTTGCAGTAAAATCACCAATAATTGAGCCTTTAGACCTATGACGGGTAAGTTTCTGAAAATTCTTTTGCTGGCCTTCGCATTGGAATGGCAAATAGGCAGCTATAAACGTAAGTTGTCCAAATTTGTTTCACCAGAAACTCCCAAAGTTTCAAAAACTGTGGTTTCGAATGAAGAAAGAATTTGAAGTTTGATTCGTCTATGAAAAATGATGGCAACGCCACCACCAACTTCATCAAGATGATCATTTCGATAAATGAAGTACTTTGCGTCACATTTAACATTATGGTCAGGTTTAAGGAACGTTTCATTTATAACGGCAATATATCATTCCTAGTTGAACACTCAGTCGGTTAACAACGTCCCGGTCTCAGTCGCGCGGCATCTAGTTTTTTTCGGTGTTTTTTCCGCCCGAGCGGTTTTTTCACCCCCCATTGGGTGCCCCAAGTGACCAGTGTGCAACAGAGGAAGTGGAATTCCATGGGCCGAGCCCCTTGGAGTTGCCATCCAGCTTTAATCCACCCCGGTAATCCATCCGGTCGTCAAGTCATTTTATCATCATCGTGCCGACCCACCAACACCAATCATCACCACCAGCAGCAGCAAACGGACCATCTAGCTGCAACGGCTGATAGGTTGTTTACAACCGGCATAAGTATTAGACAATACATTTTGCAAGTCCATTGCCTCCCTATTGTAGTTTAATTTTGCCTCGTGGCGCGTGACTCTGTCTCTCACCCCTGGTAGGGGAGTATGGGTCATAGTGAGACAACTTTTTGCAAGTAGATATAAGTTTTTTTTTTTTTTTTTTTTTGTTTCGATTTTTTTTTTTCTTTTTGATTTGTTCGTACGTCGGGCAAAAAATTTAATTACTAGTAATTAAAATTAATTAATTAGTGAAGGTTTTATTTTTTTTTTCCTTCTTAAGTGGTTGCGCACCGCTTTTGCGCAACACTTATGGCATCTTCCGATGCCTACGTTACGCGAACCATATACTATGAACCGTCTTCGAAAGGACCATGGGTTGTCTTTTTTCGGCCCAAAAATAAACCTTTGAAAACTCTCGACATAACGAGAGATTTGCTGCGTAAGTATCCGGGAATCTTGGTACACAAAGAAAGATTCAACAAACTGCGTGTAGAAGCACCGACTTATGATGTGGCAAATAAAATTGCTGATCACGAGTTGTTTAGTGTTGAGTACAACATCTACATCCCTTCTCGAGATGTGGAGATAGAAGGCGTGGTCTCCGACGCGAGTCTGACTGTCGAGGACTTGAAACATGCCTCGGGAACTTTTAAAAACTCGACATTCGCTACCGCGCTAGTGAAGATACTGGATGTAAGGCAACTGCATTCAGCATCTTTGCTAGACGGTAAAAAAGTTTATAAACATTCAGACTCGTTCCGGGTGACTTTCGCAGGTTCAGTTCTCCCAAACTTTGTTAAAATTGATGGTGCTTTTTTTCCGGTGCGGTTGTTTGAAAAAGAGGGTATATAATTGTACCAACTGCAAAAGGCTGGGACACTCGGCCAGCCATTGCGGCAACAAAACTCGTTGTGGCAAATGTGGTGAAAACCACAAAGAGGATTCTTGCCACAAAGAATCAGTAAAATGCGCTTACTGTGGCGAGAATCCTCACCCCTTGCAGGAGTGCCCGATGTACAAACAGCACTCCGATAAAGTGCAGCGTTCAATCTCTGGACGCTCCAAGCAGACATATGCTCAAATGTTGAAGGCTGCATCAGCCGTCCAAGATGCAAACCAATTTTCGGTTTTGTCAGTTGAAGAATCGGACTCTGACTCATCCGATGAAGGTGATTCAACGGTGGTACACGCACCTTCAAAAATAGACGGTTCCTCAAAAAGAAAATGCCCCTCCCCGAAAGTGCGCCGTAAGAAAACTAAAGTCACCTCCAGACGATTGCCAAATTCCCAGGGTAATGGGGATGAAAAAACAAAACCGAAGGCTCCTGTTGATCCAATCCCTGGATGCAGCAAGAATTTTCCGCCATTGCCCAACAAAGATAAAAAAAATAAAAAAGCTGCTCCTCAAACTTCTCAAAAGAAATCCAAGTCCGAACGAGGTTTGCTAGCTTTTTCGGACATTGTGGAATTCATATTAAACATGTTCAAGATACAAGACCCTCTAAGAAGCTTAGTTTCTGCCTTGCTTCCAACGTTAGAATCATATCTTAAGCAATTGACTGTTTCATGGCCCCTCCTTGCATCAATCATATCTTTCGATGGATAATTCGTCGAACGAGGTTGAAGATATGATCACTGTGCTACAGTGGAACTGCCGTAGTCTAGTGCCTAAACTAGACTCGTTCAAATTTTTACTTCACAATTCTGATTGTGATATATTTGCTCTCTGTGAAACATGGCTTTCTTCCGATAAAGAACTCAACTTCCACGATTTTAACATTATACGCCTGGATAGAGACGATTCTTATGGAGGAGTACTTTTAGGGATCAAAAAGTGCTACCCTTTCTACAAAATTTCCCTTCCTGCTCTATCCGGCGTCGAAATCGTTGCTTGCCAAATAAATGTGAAGAACAAAGATCTTTGCATAGCTTCAGTATACGTTCCACCAAGAACCTCCATTAGCCGTAGTCAACTCTGGAATCTAGTTTCGATTCTTCCATCCCCAGTATTAATTCTGGGTGATATGAACTCCCATGGTACTGGGTGGGGCGATCTATATGACGACAATAGAGCGGCTATTTTTTACGATTTATGTGACGATTTCAATTTGACTATTTTGAACACTGGTGAAGCGACACGTATAGCAAAACCTCCGGCTCGAGAAAGCCGACTCGACCTATCTTTGTGTTCAAGATCGCTATCATTGGATTGTCAGTGGAAGGTTATCAATGATCCCCATGGTAGCGATCATTTGCCAATCATCATTTCAATAAAGTGTGGCCCTCACTCTGCAGAACCATCTCGGGTTCCATTTGATCTTACAAGGAACATCGACTGGCAGAAATATGCAACGGCGGTGACAATCGGTGTCGAATCAATAGATGCGCTTCCACCATTGGAAGAATATCGATTCCTAGCCGATTTGATTTACAAAAGCTCACTGGAAGCACAAAAAAGAAAAGTTCCAAGTGCACCCTTTAAAAGGAGACCAGCCACACCTGGTTGGGACGAAGAATGCACAAAATTGTATGTAGAAAAATCTGATGCTTTCAAAGCTTTTCGTAGACACAAAACCTCCACTTACTTCGAGGAATATTCAAAGCTTGAGACAAAGCTGAAACAATTAATCAAAGCAAAAAAACGCGGTTATTGGCGCAATTTCGTCGAGGGACTCTCACGAGAAACCTCAATGAACACCTTGTGGAGGGTGGCTCGCAACATGCGTAACCGCTCATCTTTCAATGAGAGTGAAGAATACTCCAACCGATGGATATTCGATTTCGCTAAAAAGGTCTGTCCGGACTCAGTTCCAGCACAAAATATTCTTCGAGAAGCGTCTCCTAGCGGCGGCTCTCTGGATAGACCATTCTCAATGCTGGATTTCTCTATGGCTCTTCTTTCATCGAACAACTCCTCACCGGGAAGCGATATGATTAAATTCAATCTTCTGAAAAATCTCCCAGATATCGCTAAAAGACGCCCAAGTAACCAAAAGTTCCGCATTCAACGATTAAAATCACTTTCAAGTTCCGTAAAGTTCAAATAAAGTTCCGACCGAACCTTCAAGTTCCATAAAGTTCAAATACAGTTCCGACAGAACTTTCAAGTTCCATAAAGTTCAAATAAAGTTCCGACAGAACTTTCAAGTTCCATAAAGTTCAAATAAAGTTCCAACCGAACCTTCAAGTTCCATAAAGTTCAAATAAAGTTTCGACAGAACTTTCAAGTTCCATAAAGTTCAAATAAAGTTCCGACAGAACTTTCAAGTTCCATAAAGTTCAAATAAAGTTCCGACAGAACTTTCAAGCCACATGAAGCAATCTGCCCAAGGCTTTATTATTAACACAATTTAATGTACGTAAATATTAAATGATCAGTGGCCCGAATAAATAATAATTCTTAAACATAAACATAACATAAAAAAAATAATTAAAAAGTAATTTCCTGGATTCAAACCCGTGTATTCGGCAAGCGATCTACTAACGCTAACCACTGCGCCACAAATGTGTTGGAATACCATGCGGGCAAATACCAATTTAAAATTAATCAAGATGTTGTGTTTCGTATGCAAGTCAGTCAGCTGGCACTGAAAACTCCAAAAGTAGGCGGGACAACAGCTCACTTTAATATATTTCAGATGACGCAGCGGTTCGTGCTGGGGCTCTCACGCAGAAAGACTGGGTTTAATTCTTCAAACAGCTCTAATTCTACTACTAATGCTGATATATCAATACACAATTAATACCTGCCTTTAGAAATAACTAGTGCGAACTAAGCATAGAATTTGGTGTAGAGGAAAAGAAACCTTTTTTAATTTATTTTCTAAAAGTTCCGTTCAAGTGCCGCCAGAAGCTGCTTAGAATGCTCTTCAA